GGTTAATACTATTCTGAAGATTTGAAAAAAAATTAAAATTCTTCTAAAGTACTAGCATAATTGCCTCTAGCAGACTGTCACTTAAATGCTTAATGCTTATTAGCGTTTCTACATGCTTAATGCTATGGCGAACTTATCTAAAGGGGGGGGGGGGGGGGCTGAGAAGAGAAAGAATCTTCCAAAAAAGATCTGTAACCAATGAAGCAACTACACATTTCTAAATCAAATCTTGTGAGCAAGAGAATGTAATCCTTTTGTACAATTCGTTACAAACAAGTATGAGGTAAATCAGCAGCCTCCAACCTTTTGGGTACTAGGGACTGGTTCCATGGAGAACTGACTGAAGGTTTCGGCGGAAGGTGAGGTTTTGCATGCTGCCTGCATACCGCAGATAGGGCTTTGCCTGTTTACACAGCCCAGTTGCTGGCATGCCCCAGACTGGTGCCAGTGGTTGGGGATCCCTGATGTAAAGAAGAAAATCTCCAAGAAGTTTATTTTTGATCTTTGATTAAATGGTACAAATACATGTTTGGAGTAAATGTTAAGTTTGCAGAATGTTTACCTTGAGCTTGCCCAGCCAGTGAGCAAGTTAAAAGAAGCCCAGATTAAAAGTCCAAGGCCTAACCCAATGGTTTTAACAATTGGAACAACTGTTACATTACCTGCACGGAAGAATGAAACCCATTGATTAGACAAAAATAGTAACATCTATATATTTGTATAATTATAATGATCTATAATAATTACCATCAATTACCACTTTTAATGCATCTTATGGTTTGATGGATAATTGTATGAATATTGGACAGGAGTAACTCTTTCATATTCAAATGCAGAAGGGATTTGTAGGGTTTTGGAGATCACCGTAGCTTTATTTCTTATGCTCATCAGCTTTGCACTGTACTGAGTACAATGAAATGAAGCATAATTCACAAATATTATACATTCCAATCCTACATGTAAGGGAAGATAGTGAACAATCAAGAAAATGATAAAGCATCTCTCCTCACATACTTTAAAATACCCAGAGACCCTTACCACTTGATGAAAAGGTAAGCAGGACACATCAAATGTTTCCCTCAGAGTTTTTAGGCTGAGCCCATTACATTATCATATCTAAGTGTTTTGTCTGATATAAACATCTTTAAAATATAACCTGTAATTTTCTAATATAGAAAATTAACGAAAATCTTCTTCTAACTTACTCTATTAATGTCATTACTGCATTATTCTTTCTGAAGAAGCCCAGAATGGCATACTAAACGATTAAGAACTATTTCTAATAAAGACAAATACATAAAACCGTTAAAAACAAAATAAACCTCCATAGAATATTAAAATCATTTAGATTTCAGAACACTTTTTTCCCTGCAAATCCCCAGATGAAAAAGTGAGTCTTTAGTTGTCCTTTAAAACAAGTGCCTTAGGAGTCCAACTGTGGTGCTGCTATTGCAAATCACAAGTTAACAATGAGGAAAAATATGGGTGTCATGAATGACACAACAGTTGATTCATTGTCTCACAGATAAACGCACAGCTTGTCATAACCTAGATTACAACTCAATATGTTGTCAAGCTTAGGTTTTTTTTATATTTTATATTTTACTGCACTCCTATAAATCAAATGCAAATTATGATAGAACTTTCTCTAATAAACTTGATCGAGAAGGATAATTTCAATATTACCTGTAGCCCATAAAAAGCCCCCAACCATAGCAAGAGGCCAAAACTTAGGGCTGTTCTGAATCAGGTTAACAATTAAAGAAACAATCCAGATAGCAGCACAAAGAATCCACTGGAAGAACATTCCTAGAATAAAAGAAGAGAACAAAAATTATAAATTACCAACATAGTTAATACTGATTAAACGTCTGCGAAGTCATGAAATGTTTATAAATGAAACTGCAGCAACGAGTAAAAGGGCATGTTAGCTACTGTTCAGCTTCACTCTTTAAGGGTGACTAAAAAACCTTTTTTTAAAAGTCTTGGTGATCAAGAGATCCCTCAAAATGGAAAAAGTAAAAAGGATGGTGAAGAGGAGGCAGTAAACTGAGAAGCTATACCCTGAGAATATGCAGAGATGAACTAATGGGATCAAAAAGAATATAGGAAAAGTAATGTAAGGTGAAGAAGTAAAACCAATGGAGCCAAAGGTCATCTGATCAAGCTATATATTAAACACTCAAAATTTGTTGCTTGTGCAAAGGGTGTGGGGGAAACCTGTGTGCAGTGCCTCTGTGTGTGTGTGTGTGTGTGTGTGTGTGTGTGTGAGAGAGAGAGAGAGAGAGAGAGAGAGAGAGAGAGAGAGAGAGAGGTTAGAGCAGATCTCTCTCTCTCTCTCTCTCCCACCAACGTCAGCAAGCCACCGTCAGTCAAAATTCATATTAGTGCTCCCCGAGATTTAAAATTATGAGTTTGGTGGTCCCTGAGGTCCAAAAGGTTGGCACCCCCTGTTCTAGACCATTTATCTGGTTCCTATGCACTAGACAACAATATGCAAGAAATATCAACTACTCATATAAATTTTATTTAAAGACAAACAATAAGATCTGTATACTTACAAAGATACATTTCATAAAGTTTCCTTTATGTTTTGTTAAAATATGATTTTTAGAGTAACTTTGGACCTCTGTTTGTTAAATGCTTCAGCCCACCTAGAAGTATTTTTTATGTGCCCTTTCGTGGAAGCTAGATATCAGCTATAATTGTTTAAAGGGACTCTTTAAGTGAAAGGCCAACTACTTGCACACATGATAACAAGCATGATAACAACAATTTTGTTTTAAGATGAATGTTTTACCATCGCCAGTGTCAAACTTCTTCACCGGTACAAAGTTGGATCCAAATAAGACAACAGCAATTGCTGAGGAAATGAAGCCAATGGTCAGATCTGTTGTATTACTGCTGACAGAGTAGGGGATCTCTTGCCAGCTCTCCATCCTGTTTTCAGTGCCTGAGTTGATTTCTCTGGATTCCCTTTCTTCAGGCAGCACTAGAAAGAGAAAACCATGATGTTGAGGTAATTCCCCGTTAGGAGAATGAGCGCACACAGGGAGATGTAGTGAGAGTGGTACTGAATAACACGACCAGCACACAGATAAACTGAATAGTAAAATGTAGGTTTTACTCCCAGTAAACAGTTAAGCAAAGTCCAACAAGTAGTCCAAGTCATACACAGTTAAAGCAGTCAGTATTCCATCCAGGGGTAATCCAAATAACAAAGTCCAGTATCATAAACAGTTCAGTAAATAGTCTTACAGCAATCCAAGAAGAACGACGATCAGCAACAGTCAATAGGGAAAAATGCAGGAACCAAGAACATCGAACATCAGAACAACTAGCAACTAACAACAACAGAACTAACAACCCAGGTTTCTGGCTCCATCTTATGGCCGTTTGAAGAACCACACCCAATTACAATTTTAGCATTTCCTTAAAGAGACAGTATTGTCTATCCTGGTTTATATATTTCCAATCCAACTGTTAGGTGATTATCAATTCCTAACACACAGAATAAATGACACATCACACAATTTACAAAGTCCTCCTGCTAGTATTACAATATGATAGTCCCCTTTATTCTGATTTACAATTAGCTTTTAGGTAAAATTAAAGCAGTAATTCAAAAAAAATATTTTATTTATGTATTAAACTTATACGGCACCCATTTCACCATCAAGCAACTTTGGGTAACTTGCAACAATATAAAAGCATAACATAAAACAATAAAAACATTAAAAACATTCAACATTAAGAACAAAACATTAAAATCTGGTAAATAGGAAACCAGATTCTGGAGTTGATGTTCATCTCATTCTGGAAGACAGCTGCACTTTTCTGAAAGGGTAGATCTACAGTGTCAGACACTCCTTGACCCTCAGTTGTCTGTGCATCCCCAGGATGCAGCAGCAGGACAGATAACGGGTAATCAGAGTTGGAAGGGACCTTGTAGGTGATCTACTCCAACCCCTCACCCATGCGGGAGACCCTACACCAATTCTGACAAATGGCAGTCCAATCTCTTCTTGAAAGTCTCAAGCGATGGCACTCCCACAACTTCCGAGGGCAACTTCTGTTCCATTGGTTGATTGTTCTCACTGTCAGAAAGTTTCTCCTTATTTCCAGGTTAAATCTCTCCTTGTTCAGTTTCCATCCATTATTCCTTGTGTGGCCTCCAGGTGTTTTAGAAAATAGCTTGACCCCTTCCTCCCTGTGGCAACCCCTCAAATATTGGAAGACTGCTATCCTGTCTCCCCTGGTCCTTCTCTTTACTAGACAAGTCCAGATTCTGCAACCGTTCATTGTATGTTTTAGCCTCCAGTCCCCTAATCTTCCTGGTTGCTCTTCTCTGTACATCTTTGTTGAAATTCTAGAAGACTCATATCTAGTACGGCTGCTTTGACCATTCCTACATTGGCCCGACTGAAGATAACATCCTAATCTGACTAATATGTTGAAATTCAATGTTACCACTTAAATATCATCTGGAAGCTTCAATTGGTGCCCAATGTGGCAGACTGACTACCAATGGGCAATAAACAGGAACACACAATATACCTACTGTATGTTAAAATACATCTTGATTATCAGCCAGGTCATTTCGGCCTTATTTAGTTGTAGCAGTAAATTGAACTGTTTTTTTTTTTAATACAGATAGTCTTTGACTTACAACAATTTGTTGAGTGACCTTTCAAAGTTAAAATGGCATTGAAAAAAAGTGACTAATGACAGTTGTTCACACTTACAGCTGTTGCAGTATCCCCATAGTCACACGATCAAAATTCAGATGCTTGGCAATTGACTCATATTTGTCCCGATGTTGTATAGTCCCCTTTTGTTGACCTTCTGACAAGCAAAGTCATTGGGGAAGCCGGATTCACTTAACAACCATGTTACCAATTTAATAACTGCAGTGATTCGCTTAACAACTATGGCAAGAAAGGTCATAGAATGGGGCAAAATTCACTTAACAAATGTTTTGCTTTAGCAACAAAAATTTGGGGATCAATTAAGGTCCTACCTGTACAATGGATTTTTGTTTTGGCATTAGCGTACCCAAGATGTTACGTGGTCTGCTAATGACACATTTCCAGGAAAACAACCATAGTAATCGTGTGAGTCTTACTCTTGAGTTTTCATAACTACCCTCAAGATAGCTCTGTAAAGTAAATTTTCAAGGAAAGAGGGTTGGGTTTTGTAACAAGACTCAAAAGCACACTGTACTATGAACATAGCAATGGTGTTTTCATTTTACACGACCATCACCAGTAGATGGTTTAGTTCTGTAGTCAAGCTATTCAAAACCTTTTTTTAAAAAAAGGGAGGATATAATGTGAATTTGACACTAATTGTACATGGTTTTTTTTTTCCTGCCATCTAATCAGCCCAATACTGAACCATGTCAGATAATGGATTATGATTTCAGGGTCTAGACTCCTAATTTGGAAAGAAGCAAGCAGGTTAAAAACTACTTTAGTGACTGAATGCAGGGTGGATTTATTCCACCTTTCCTCAACCTTATTGACCCACAAGAATGCAGCGTGCAGGATACCTAGCCAGCTTGCTTTATGGACAGCGAATGGTATAATATATTACATTTGGAAACCACAAGGTTGGGACCAAGCAGCCTATCCAAATGCTTTGGTATTTGGATAATAATATCACCATCGACTTTCCATTGTCTCTGCTTGTTTGAGCTTCCTTTCCCTTCTTGCTTGCTTGACCAATTTACAAAACTGAAGCCGCAGAGACCACCCAGCCGTCGATGCAAGTCTTTGCTTGCGGTCAACAGAAAGGCAAAGGTTACCTTTCGTACACCGATGTTATTTTCAAAACAGCCTCCCGGCTCTTTGCTTCCTGCTTTGATGATTTTGAAGGGGCAACAGCTGTAAGAAACCAGGAGCTCCGCCCGGTGCTCACATGATGCCTCGCCCAGCTGCCAACCGCGGCGTGGCAGCGGAAAGTGGCTCAAGGTTTCCTGAAACGATGGGCTGCCATTTCGCGGTCCTTTGGAAATTTTGCAGCCCAGACGGAGCAGGCAGGCGCCGAGACTCGGCGTATTTTTAAAAAGCGCGTTCTTTGTCTGAGCCTCGTTGCCTACAAAGGGTTGTTTTCCAAGCGTAAATGCGCACCCGGCGCGCAAAAGACTTCCACCCTCGCAGGGAGGCACCCAAAGACAGTTAAACTCTCGCGTCAATTCTTAAAGCTAGGATCCCGCGAGATTAGAGTAGAATATGTGTGTGTGTGTGTGTGTGTGTGTGTGTGTGTGTGTGTGTGTGTGTACACACATTATATACATATACATATATATATGTACACACACATATATATATACATATATATACATAGAGAGAGAGAGAGATCTATAGAAAGAGATCTATATCTATCTATCTATCTATCTATCTATCTATCTATCTATCTATCTATCTATCTATAGAGATCTAGAAATCGATATCTATCTATCTATCTATCTATCTATCTATCTATCTATCTATCTATCTATCTATCTATCTATCTATCTATC